CCAGTCCAGACAGCGTTCCTATTAGGCAGATGAGTGAGTCTCTCTGCTGACCTGGTGAGGTAAGAGCCTCTCTAATTCAGCCACTGTCCCTGAGACTTGGCAGTGATGGACTATGGCCAAGGGTCTCCCTAGGGCTGTAGCACCAAGTAGTGCAACTCATTCATAGCCTCTTTCAGACAACCACTCTGCTCGTGAAGTCCTGCACATGTTTCTGTTGCTGCAGAGAGTTATAGTTTGTTATTCTGGGGAGGAGGCAGGTGGTGGCTGTATGGATTACTCTTCATTATATGTATGGGGGCAAACTACAAAGACTTTAGAGTTGTCATATTGAGATGAAAAGTTTTCTGTGCTGGGATTTCTATAAGCCGAGCTGATTGATTGGTCGTCGGGGAAAAACCTTAATCTTGTGGATGCACAATGTTTAGATAAGATATAACCACTTCTATACAAAATAAGATATATTTCTGTTTCCTAATAAGGAAAGGCTGGTCTCAGGTATTACATCAGATATTGAACTGCTATCTGAAACTGAGGGGCAGCCTTGGTAAGTAAGCACGAAAGGCTCTGAGAGGCTTTACATGCTGCATTCCTTGTCTCGCTCCACATTCCCATCCATTCTTCAGGAAATCAATGTGGGACACCAGTAAACAGAGTTATGAGGTAGCCACAGCTTACTGCTGGCTGTTTATTGCTAGTGTATTAAGCTACAGCTGAGAGGCCTAGCCTGTCAATAATTCTTGTCCCTGAGGAAAAGATGGCATGTGAATAAAACCTCCCAGCTAAGCAGAATCAAACACTCTGAAGGCAGTAGCATATTTGTGTTTGTGCAACCATTGGAGAAGCATTCATTTATGTGCATCTATATTTATATATTTCTGTTCTTTCTTCAAGTTACAATCAGCTTCTACCTAGATTATTTGCCTTATACTGATTTATTACATTCTGTCATTTTCTTTCCTCAGACTTCCTGTATCTCTTATCAATTTGTAATACCTTTTCTCAATCCAACCAACATATCTAATTGAGGAGTCAGATTAATTAAGGCATGTTAATGTCTAAAGAGGCATTTCACTTCAGCTTACTTCACACAGAGGTCTGCTTGCGTGTATTTTTTTTAAATCCTGGGTGAGCGAAAAGGATAAGGAAGAGTGGGAGGATAACAACCCTGCAAATTACAAGCCTCTTCAATTTTCCACATCAAGGCCTTTGTAGAGAGGGAATGTTGCAGAATTTCAGGCGAGCACAGACATCCTAAATTGACCTGACTCACAAGTGCCCTTGAGAGTGAACTACTGTGAAAAGCAAAGCATGCAGAGTTTCCTGTGTCTTTATAGTTTGCCGTCTTTGGACCATAAAGGTTCATCTCATTCATCTTACTGTACATCACGGCTGTGGGTAACTCCTCCTCCCCAGCCTTCTTTTTCATTTCACTGTGGTTTAGTTAAACGTCAGACAACAGCTGACATGCAGAGGAGGGAGAATCATTAATCGCGACTGCGAGACAGGAAGCATGAGCGTCATTAACAGTCATTAGTTCAGAGACAGCAGGACAGGTTGCCACCACAACCATGCCTCTCTCCATCACTCACAGGTTCAGAACACTGAGTCAGGAATGCCTCCACACCCACATCCTGCTGTTGCCATTCCTCCCGTATTTCAAGGTTCCAGCCTTTGTGATTGTGTCTTTCTGTGACGTGGACAAAGTCTTTTTACACATTCATTCATTTTGATTGCTTTAATTCCGTCTTTGCTTGCCTCAGAAGAGGCACTCTCCCTCCCACCTTGCGCTTAAAGCTTGAACGAGGCTTAGCACTAAACAAATTGACAATTATCATGCCAATCTTCGCCTCATTGGCTTCCAGCAGAGTTTGGAATAGACTTTAAAATGCTACTGATTATTTTCAAAGCACCAGGGTTTTAACTATTCCCTGTGTATTCACAGAAAGGCAGTGCCAGTCAAAAGCCATTAAAATGTATTGCACTTTTGCAATTACGGTCCATGTTCTTTGGAACCAACAGCTTTCAAGGTATTATTTGAGTTGCAGGCCATTTTTCATGACCTCTTTTAAAATCAATTTCTGTTAGCATTTGCTATTTATTGCTGCCTAGTTATAGTAGTTTCATTTATTATGAAGCATCTGCATTCATTTTCTAATCAATTTATCATCAAGGATGATGCCTAATGACTTTGCTAACAATGTGTTTGCGAACAAAAAATGGAGTTGAGATAGGCTGTGAAAGAATATAAATACATTCTTTGGTTATGCATGGACAATCCTCTGAAAAAACAATGAAATATATAAATTTTATGCAGAAACATCCACCCCTCTCCTCTCTTCTTCTCTGACCCGACTGGCACAAGTAGCTGTTAAACATTATTGTACAAAGACAAAGATTTATAGCTTAAGGGCAAATTTACAATGCAAGGCAACCAGAATTGCATAAAATTGATGAGAGGAGAAAATTCTGCTTATAATTTACGGACAGTGGCCTAATTTATGAAAATGTACAAAGTCTCTCTACAGAGAGAGGAGCAAAACAGATCTTATCAGAACTGGGTGGGTACTGTGTGTGTGGGGTCTTGGAGGTCGAGTTTTTCGGGTCGAGTCTCTGTAATAAACATCCCATTTAATAAACACTAGAAGAGGATTTTAGGTAGTGCCAGACATGAACAGTTAGGGCATCACTGGGCTTCATTTTTGGGATTTTGAAGACCGATACCATTTTTTTTCTATCACACATAAAGCATAAATGGGTTTAACATTTGTTAGGTGTAGTACCTGCACTTATGATTCTTTATTAAGATAATATGATAATGTTGCAAAAACTGGCACAACAAGTTACCCGTTTATGCTCTGTCTGACTCTGCAGGTTGCTGTGCTTGTGCCATTCCAAACAAGATGTTGCCAGCAGTGTAGTTGCAGACTGCCCTCAGGCCATTTATCTATCCACTTTCTTCCACTTATCCAGAGCCGGGTTGTGGGGGAAGCAGCCTTAACAGAAAAGCCTAATCCTCCCTCTGCCCAGCCACCGCCTCCTGCTTATCCAGGGAACACTGAAGTGCTTCTGGTCCTGGGTCTATGCGCCCCCAGACACCTCACCCAGGAGACGCCCAAGAGGCATCATTCTTGTCAGTAGAGCTGGGCGATAGAACGATAACGATATGTATCGCGATATAACTTTT